AGCTGACGCGTTGAGCCGCCCAGGTCATGTAGCAGGCATCCAGCTCGACGGGATGAACCCTCTACTCAAGGGTCTATTCCAACATGGGTACTCCGTGGACAGCGAGATAGCAACGGCAGAGAAGCAGAAACTGTTACAGTGGGAGAAAGACTTAGCGGTAAGGAAGGGTTCAGGAAAGATTTGGGTACCGAATTACGCCCCGCTACGGCAGATCCTATTGGAGGAGTTTCATGACGTACCATACGCAGGACATTTCGGGAGCAACAAGACGTTAGCGGGTATAGCAAAGTATTACTACTGGCCTCGGATGGCAGCAGACGTGCAGCAGTTCGTCACCTCCTGCGACACGTGTCAGCGGATGAAGAGTAGCAAGCAGAAGAAAGCAGGGTTACTTCAGCCTCTACCCGTACCGGAGCAGCCATGGCAGGTCGTTAGTCTCGACTTCATCACGGGACTTCCCTCGACCTCACGGGGACACGATTCCATCCTCGTAGTCATCGATAAGTTCTCCAAAATGGGTCACTTTATACCGACCAACGCCACAGCTACAGCTGAAGCAACTGCTCGCCTCTTCTTCGACCGCATCATCACCATCCACGGCATCCCCGCTACACTCATCTCAGACAGAGACCCAAAATTCACGAGTAAGTTCTGGAAGGAGCTTATGGGACTGTTGGGGACTAAGCTTGCAATGTCTTCAGCATACCACCCCCAGACTGACGGACAGACGGAGCGACTCAATCAGGTGGTTGAACAGTTACTGCGCACAGCTTGCAAAGACGATATCAGCCACTGGGACACACAGTTACCGACCTTGGAGTTCGCTTACAACAACGCCTCGCATGCGGCCACAGGAAAAACTCCTTTCTTCCTGTGTTACGGACGAGAACCACTCACACCACAGCAGCCAACCACACCGGCACACGTCCAAGCCGCACACGACTTCGTCACCACCATGCAGCAGCTATGGGAGAAGACTCGGCGACGTCTCACCACGATGCAGAACTCCCAGAAGCAGTATGCCGATCGTCAGCGACGAGATCACTCAGTAGCAGTCGGAGATCAGGTGCTTCTTGACACGCGCAACTTGAACCTGTCTCACCTACCATCCAAACTCCGGCCTCGCTTCTGTGGTCCTTTTCTCGTGGAGGCATAGGTGACACCAGTTACATTCCGCTTGCGCTTACCAGATACGTGGAAGCTTCACAACGCTTTCCATGTTCAGCTACTGAAACCCTATCACAAAAACCCTATGCCAAGTTTGGACGAATTTTGATTGCGATTGTCTTCACGTAATAAAATCCGGACCCAATTTCGACCGACGGTTGGAGTCGTTTGATAGGAGCTCCGACACACATCTCGCGACAAGGCTTGGCTCGGGTCAAGTTCCAAATTGGCACGCGTGCTTTTCCGGAAGACATTCGCGCGCAATCCGTTTTGGTGCAATTTCGTGACCAGATCATTTAAAATAAATTTTATTTTTTGCTTTATTTATGGGCTTGAGGATCTCAGAATTACATTCAATATTCCTGTTTACAGCAACCATTATTCAGCATTGTAACAACAAGCAGTTTTAACACCTAGTGAAATAGCCTACTCAATGGTGGGCCCTGCAAGCGCCCGGTGGGCAAGAACAACATCTCCAAGGTCGCCATCGTCGATGAGGAACTTGTTCGGGAAGACGAACGCACCCTGAGCCGGATCGTGTGGGATACGTCGCTCCACGACGGCAAAGTGTATCATCTGTTTGACCTTGTCACACCATTCGAAGTAGTCCGGCCTGTTTTGTTCCGGCTGGGCCGGAATTCGCTTGCGGCGCTTGTCCTGCAGAAGGGGCCACTCGATCTGCAATGTGGTGTAGGGTTGGGTGGATGGTGTATGAGGGGGGGTAACGGGTATATGATCCAGCTGAACCAGGTGAAGACGACACATCCTACGTAACCGCAAACGCCTAAACGACCAAGGATTTAGATGAAGTACAGGCAAGGGGTTTAGGGGATGATGCATGGGTGTAGAGACACATATCTACCTCCTTACCGAAAACAGGCCCCATGCCACCATGCGGCTCTTGAACTTGGTGAACACGACCCCGCTCCTCTTGAAGGAGAGCTTGAACGCATAAGCAAACAAGGGGTTGCTGAAGGGTGTTCCGGTGGCCTTGTCAAAGTGCCAGTTGAGGGCCCACTGTTCTGCATTTTGGAGGGAGCGTATGGGTTGGAAAGGGGGTGCAGATAGATCAGGTGGGGGGGTGAGAGACAGGGTCAGAGTACCGCGACACGGTTATTTGTAGCTGCTGACTGGCTTATGGGCAGGGGGATATGGTGTGTTTGAGACGCACATACCATCTCTGTACTCCGCCAGGAGTTGCTCGTCGTTGAACCACTTCTTTGGGTGTAGCTCAGTGGGCAGGCAATCCACCGCATTGGCGTAATCGGAGAGACCCATGCCGGCGTACGTTGCTGGCCTGAGGGTGGTGTTGATTGTTGACCTGGTTGATGACATCTGGTGGTTGAAAACACCCATGGTTGACTTGTCGTTGTGCAACCACAGCAGCTTCATTGACTCTAGCCCCTCGGCAGACAAGTGGACAGCGAAGGCCTCGAACACTTCCTCCGGTGCAGGGTAATACTGAATTTTCTCCGGGGGGTTCAGAAACAGGAGCTGAGAGCACACTAAGTAGGCTTTGCTCTGCGCAGGGGTGTGGGGTTTACAACACGACACGGGGAGAGAGAAATTATGAGTAATGACTGTGGCCGGGTGACCACAGGATGGACTGTAGGAACTTTCCACGTCAGCCCCCACCCCTCACATCCCGCCACGTCACACCCTCCTGCATCCGCCACGTTAGGGGACAACAACCAGGCCCACGTGCCACGTCACACCCACCCACCCCATGCCACGTCATCCCCCCACCCACTTGACACGACCAGCATCGTCACGCGCCACTCCCGTGTAACCTTCCAGGCCGCCACGTCAGCCCCAAGCCTCACATCCCGCCACGTCACACCCTCCTGCATCCGCCACGTCAGGGAACAACAACCAGGCCCACGTGCCACGTCACACCCACCCACCCCATGCCACGTCACCCCCCCACCCACCTGACACGACCAGCATCGTCACGCGCTACTCCCGTGTAACCTTCCAGGCCGCCACGTCAGCCCCAAGCCTCACATCCCGCCACGTCACACCCTCCTGCATCCGCCACGTCAGGGAACAACAACCAGGCCCACGTGCCACGTCACACCCACCCACCCCATGCCACGTCACCCCCCCACCCACCTGACACGTGTCGCCTGGTCCCGCGCCGCTCCCGTGTAACCTTCCAAGCCGCCACGTCAGCCCCACCCCTCACATCCCGCCACGGCACACCCTCCTGCATCCGCCAAATCCACCAACGACCATCCCCACGTGACACGTCACACCCACCATCCCCATGCCACGTCACCCCCCACCCACCGGACACGCGTCGCCTCGTCCCGCGCCGCTCCCCTGTACCCGTCCAAACCGCCACGTCAGCCCCAACCCTCACATCCGCCCACGTCACACCCACCCACCCCATGCCACGTCACCCCCCACCCACCCCATGCCACGTCACCCCCCACCCACCTGAAGGCTCTCGCCCTGTCATGCGCCGCTCCCTTGCATCCGTTCAACACCACCACGTCATATCTCAACCCTCACCTTTTTTGCCACGTCACACGCCCTTGCGTCCGCCGCCTACACCAACAGCTCAACCCACTTGCCACGTCGTACTCAGAGATCCGAAAGAGCCACGTCAGCCCCCGCCCACCTGTGGAGCCGCGTGTCGCCCTGCACCGCTCCCGCGCACCCTTTCCAACCGCCACGTCATCCCCAACCCTTCCCTGGTTGCCACGTCAACCCCAACCCGCCACATACCGGGAATGGGTTGGTCTCCCGAAGCACAAGCACACGTGTCCACGGCACTCATCGGCGGCGGGGTACCAGCCATAGGCACCACTGCAGTCCCCCCGGCATAGCTGGCAGTTGCTCCACGACGCAGGCCGAGCTGAGCAAACATGGCGTACATCTCAGACCGTAGCTGCTGGAACTCGTCTCGTGTAACAAACTGCCCATGCTCTGCACCTTCGCCCAGCGCATCCATGACATCCGGAAAAGGGTGTGTAGAAACCCCTCTCTGGCCAAGGGGATCAACGTCTTCAGCAGCAGCCCCGTGTGCCCTCACACTATCACGCTGGCGGGGAAAGGGAGGCTCAGGGAAGGGATTGGCAGAAGTGCTTGGTTGATGCCCGCGCGATGGACCAGCGAGGGGGGAGACCGCCCTGCCCCGGACAGGAGAAGCGTGTAGTGGCCGAAATGGGTAAGAGGGAGAGGCGAGTGGGGAGTGCGTGACGGGGGCTGGTGGAGGGGATTCGGATTCCTCTCCTGTAGCCGCGCCGGGTGCAGTCGCAGCGACTTTGCTCGGGCCGGAGTATGGCGTGAAGAACCTTGGTGCTCCTGTGGATAGCGGTGCCACACTCGCTCTTCCGGCCCCTTTCGTTAGCTGCATCCGTTGCACGCTTACCGGTGGCCCAATGCCTGTAACACGGGGGGCTGAGAGTCACACGGAGGATGAGCACGGAGATGGTGTCTGCTATGTACATTTGGACACATGCACGCAAACGAGTAACCGCATGATTCAGACAGGGGTGTAGCTGGGAACTGTAGTGTATAGTCACGCCTTACCCGGTTTAGCCGATTCGTCAACCTTCTCCTTCCCTGCGGCGGGGAAACACGGGGTGGAACACGGTGTTGTTAGGGTCTGTTCATCACAAACCACGGCAGCTATGCCATGCGTTTGTGACACTTTGCGTACCTCGTTGCTGTCCCTTCGGTTTTGCTGCCTGCTCCTTATCGTTGCCCCCTTTCCGCGGTGTGCTTCGGCGGGTGCTGCCTCGTTTACGGGCAGGTTCCTTCTTTGCCGAACCTACAGGTACCCCTTTCGCGCGCCTTCCCTTTCCTTCTCCATCGCCTGCCCCACCCTATCTCCCTTGCTTCCTTCCACCCCGGTCAGTTTCGACCTTCACTTTACGCGCCTTCGATTTGCCCGCTGGGCCGCCATGCATTGCGTCAACCGCCCCGCGTTTCCGGGATTGACCAGACCGGCCCCCCACCTTCCCTGTGCCACTCCCCCGTCTGCCTCGCGCGCCCCGTCCTTTCCCTGCCGGCTCCTCCTCCTCCTCCTCTTCCTCATCCGCCCCTTCCTCCACCTCCTCTTCCTCCACGTCGTCCTCCTCCTCATCCTCCTCCTCACCATCATCCTCCTCCTCTTCCTCCTCCTCCTCCTCCTCCTCCTCCTCCTCCTCCTCCTCATCCTCCTCCTCCTCCTCCTCCTCCTCCTCCTCCTCCTCACTCTTTTCCTCCTTAGGCTCGTCATCCCCCTCATCGTCCTCCTCCTCGTCCTCATCCTCATCCTCATCGTCCTCCTTCTCCTTCCCCTCGTCGCCATCCTCATCCTCCTCCTCCTCCTCATCATCGTCGTCCTCCTGCTCATCCTCGTCCTTTTCTTCCTCCCCTGCATCCTCGTCCTCCTCCTCCGCATCCTCCTCGGCCTCCTCCTCCCCATCCCCCTCGTCCTCAACATCCGCGTCACCAAGGCCTTCTTTGCCGCGCTTCGGCCTCTTCCCCCTCGAGGCTTGCTTGCCCCCCCGTCCGCTAGATGGTTTCCGCGGACCGGGTCGGCCATTTTGCCGCAAAGCATGATCTGTCGCCAAGCCACTTGGCTCCGTGGTGCCTCGCGTTGTCCCAACTTCAGCACCACCGGCGTCGTCACCGCTGGCTGTCGTCTGCCTCCTCTTTGCGCGTATGGGGATGTCCTCGGCCACGGGGGTGTCATACTCCTCCTCCCCATCGCTCTTCCTCTGCCTACGCCTCCCGCGTCCCCCAGAGGGAGGAGATCCACCGACGTCGGCAATGTCGTGTTTCGGCTCCTCCGTGCAATCGTGCGCAGCATTCTTCTCCTTATCTATCACTGCAGCAGATACTTCGACCACGGGCGGGGGGAGCAGCGTCATATGCTGCTGTGATGCCTCTGCCACGGACACCACAGTTGCGGCCTGGTCGTCGCCGGGAGCCTCGCCGTGCTTTCCTCCAGTCGCCAAGCCCTCTCTGTCCCCCGGCCGGACGGCAACACTCACGCCGCCACGCCCAGGGTCTTCGTTCCCGCCGATGGTGCCGTCGTCGGAAGGACCGGGCTCGAGGGCAGCAGTGGCAACACCCGCATCGCTCTTCACGGCCGAAACACGCTTGCGTGCCGTTGGTTGCTTCCCCTTGTCCTCCGCCTTCTTCCCGGACTTCTTCGTTCCAACCTCAGCCTTCTTCCCCGCCGCACGTTTCCTTTGGTTGGTTTGCGCGGCGGCCGCTTTAGTAGCCCTAGATCTGGCCCCACCCTCATGGTCGGTCTGTATCGACATCCGCCGTGTCGTGCGTCGTTTTGCCTGCTCCTTCTCCTTTTCTGTTTGCCGAGTTGCACGTGTCATGAGGGTTGTACGAATGCAAGTTATAACTTGCGGGATTGTTTAGCCAGTTTTAGAAAATAGCCGAAAGGATTGTTACTAATTTACTCCGTCCCGGTCAAGCCAATACTGTCTCACCCTAAATCTCAGGTACGGTTACAACTGAAGAAGTAGCTACTAAGCACATGGCGTCAGCCCTTTGCTTCGTCGCTACTCTGACTCACTGGCGATCTGGAAACACCTGTGTTCAGCATCGAGCGGCGTCAAGGTAGTGGGTATGAGGGTGACGGAAGATGGTGAGTGGGGCACGACGGTCGTTGGGGTGGTTTGCGAGTCTAGAGAGGGGACTGTAAGCAGACAGCCACAATCGGATGGTCTACGATTAGCCACCCGATCAATAACCCACTAAACGCGGGATCACAGCCGCTGCTTCCGCGGCGAATGTCCAGCTTGGCTGGTCCGGTCATGGGGAGGGGGGTCGTTTGAGATGCGTCGGCCAATCAGCGCCGCTCGCATCAATCTCCGCAGAATCTAGTACCGTTTCGACACCACCAATCATCGCATCCTGCAAAATACAGTGCCAATGTGCATTGATCAAATTTAAACATAGGAGCAGAATACACTTGCAAAGAACAACTAAAACCATTTGTATTGAACTTGGCCGCTTGTGGTGTCATGTTGTGTTAAGTCTAGGGAGTGCATCTGGCATCGGACACGCTCTTTGACCTACCAACTCGTGGACTATGGAATGCTATACTGAGCACACATTCAGGGTTGGCGACGGATACCGGTCGTTGGAACTTGTTCAGGCACGACGTGTACTAGTGCCAACTGGAATGGAGATGTGGTGTGATGTTGGCGTGTAAATTCATGCGTGGGCCCTCGAAATGGTATATAGAGGGTGTGGAATGAAGCACAGGTCCAACGCACGAGCGAGGGTGCGTTATCGACAGCGCTGTTCCAACGCGGCGACGTTGCAGCGTTCGCAGACATACAGGGCTTGCGCGAGATGGTGAATCCGTAATGGAATGGTGCTGGCTTGGGCTCTATCCTTGCGTGGGCCCTCGACATGGTGTATAGAGGGTGTGGAATGAAGCACAGGTCCAACGCACGAGCGAGGGTGCGTTATCAACATCGCTGTTCCAACGCGGCGACGTTGCAGCGTTCGCAGACATCCAGGGCTTGCGCGAGATGGTGAATCCGTTATGGAATGGTGTTGGCTTGGGCTCTATCCTTGCGTGGGCCCTCGACATGGTGTATTGAGGCTGTGGAATGAAGCACAGGTCCAACGCACGAGCGAGGGTGCGTTATCGACAGCGCTGTTCCAACGCGGCGACGTTGCAGCGTTCGCAGACATCCAGGGCTTGCGCGAGATGGTGAATCCGTTATGGAATGGTGTTGGCTTGGGCTCTATCCTTGCGTGGGCCCTCGACATGGTGTATAGAGGGTGTGGAATGAAGCACAGGTCCAACGCACGAGCGAGGGTGCGTTATCGACAGCACTGTTCCAACGCGGCGACGTTGCAGCGTTCGCAGACATACAGGGCTTGCGCGAGATGGTGAATCCGTAATGGAATGGTGCTGGCTTGGGCTCTATCCTTGCGTGGGCCCTCGACATGGTGTATAGAGGGTGTGGAATGAAGCACAGGTCCAACGCACGAGCGAGGGTGCGTTGTCGACCGCAGCGTCTAAACAGGCGACGCTGTAGCGGTCAGGCCTTGGGTGTTGCGCAACAAGGTGAGTCCGTTGTGGTACGGTGTTGGATTGTCCTCTAGCCTTAGACAGATATTCAAGTAGGTGCCTCTAAGGGGTATGAATGAGAGGCCCAACGCACAAGCGGCGATGCGTTATCGTGAGGGCACGGAGTTCTTGTGTACTTCCCGTATGTAGCCAGATCACACAAGAGATGAGAGGATATGGTGTTCAGACTGTCACGTTGTCAACTAGGGGTGGATATCGAGCAGGTCTTTTCATATGACTATGTCCTAGTTATCAACAAAGACTTTACTGTGTAGAGAAAAAACAATTCTACAATGTACTATCATTGTATTTGGGCTATGGTCAAGCGCAACACTATGCGCTCACTTACGTGTGCGCGATTTCCCCCCTATAACGCTTCGCGACTGAATCACAGATCCAAACGGATCTCTTCCCGCTCTTCCTCATCCCACTCGACTCTCATGCACCAAGGGTGCGTGAATCCACAGGCACGTCGTTCTCACCATGCTCGCAACGCACACACACGACCCACCGTCTTAAGATCAGGCGCATTTCCCGCTGCTCACGACGTGGTCTGTCTAAACGGGGGCGACACGCCTTGTAGGGAAGACGATCCGTGCTGTGAGCGGTCTGTACCGTGCCTTGTCACGACCGCGCGGCTCGAACATCGTTTGCCAGTCCCAAACATCGTTAAGCAGCCCGCTCAAGTGCCAGTCGTGCAGTGATACAAGCCGCCTTCGACAGTGCGCGGTTTGGCGATGACCTGGTTGCATTAACAGCCTTCTTGAACGGTGTACTTAATGCCTTCTCAAGCTTCCCACGACGCTAGTTGCTTCACAGGCCATTTCTCAACACTTAGACAGATCCGTAAAGCATGGGCTCCTTGCCTGGCGTCGTCTGCGAGTTCTGCAACAGATGGTTCCCCAACGCCCAAGTTTATGGCGGTCATAAGTCACGGCGGACCCCTTGTCAAGGCCTTTCCGCCGTGGCAAGGCCCTCGCGATCTGCACCGTCAGCCGGTCTACACGCACTGCTATTCGTCCACGACATTCTGTCGGACGCTCCCGCTGCTCCCGCTTCCCCTACCGCGTCTAACGCGTCCAACACCGACGGTGTGAATGGTCCTCCTCGCGTCCCGGTAGCTGACGAGGACGCAACACCCTCGGCTGTGAACGTGGGGGCTCCTGAATCTGAGCATCAACCGTCACCAGAAACACCTGCAGATGACACGAGTGAGCATCAGGGGTGCCGCCCTGGAGTGAGTCACGCGGCACCGCCGACAATCATTTCCGGGGAGAGCAATGCGACGCCCCTCAGTCCGATTGCGTTGAAGCTGCTGCATTTCGTGAGGCGCGTAAATGGCGGAATGGGCATGGCGGAGATCGACATCAATGGCCTGCTTCAGCTCGTGGTGGAGCCCGGCCTTGCGCCTCTTGTGATCTCAGAGATCCGGAACTGCAAGGATCTGGAGCGGTTCGAGATGGAGCGCTTGGTAGGGCTCAATCGCGGATGGTCAGTGGCGACCTTCGAGATTGAGGGTCATCCGCCACAGCGCCTCCTCTTCCAGAACTCCGCGCAGGTAAGCCGACTCTGGAACCGTGGATGCGAACTGCAGATTCCGCATCCTTGTGGAGCTTGTTGGGAATGTTGCCTTTGTTAGGCATGTGTGCAATCTGGCCCGTGAAACGCTCCCGCCACTAAACCAGGGTTTGGTTCTCTCCCGCTCTTGATCCCGCACTCCAGGCGTTTGCTGAACTGTTTGGGCACACCAACAACGCACCCGGCTTCAAGCTCAAGGCTCGTGTTGATGAGGACCCTGACACAGGCGAGCGTCGCTATACCACGCCAGAAACAGGAACGTGGTGGAACGATGCTCAGGTATGTAAATACCCCGCTGCCACCCAAAACCACACGCGTGCGCATGCGTCCGTTGATGCGCTGATGTGTAGGCAGCATCTTCAGTGCGTCATCTTCGTGGGGAGTTTTTTGTATCAGGCTCAATCCGCCTGGCGACACTTTACCTTGATGGTGTTTGACCGTGTGTTGTTTCCGTATTTGTCATGCAATGCAGGAACACTTCGGATGGTCCGAAGTCGTGGGGGGTATCATCCTATATTCAGATGTGACGCACATGAGCAACAACGGCCGGAAGAAGGCGTGGCCGCTCATGATGACGCTTGCCAACATCTCCCAGGCCAAGCGATGGGGGAAAGCCGGGCACACGCTACTTGCTCTCCTTCCTATCCCCCCTTCTGCAATGACCGCCGTCGAGAAGGTGATGCTCTTCCAGCGATGCGTCATCACCGTGCTGCAGCCGCTTCTTGATGGCATGGACAGGTCCGTACTCGATTTCCGTCATGCTATGTCGTCACCGTAGCAACAGCATAGCGTGCGCAGCGTTTTTGTATGTTGCATTACCCTTTGCCCCTCCTCGCTGATGCACAGAGTCGTCCTGGCTGTTGCTGTTCCCACTCTACCCGTTCCTCGCAGCGGCCTCCGTCTCAAGGACCCTTTCGGCGATTGGCAAACAGTGCGGCCACTGCTGTACGCCTGGGTGTGCGACTATCCCGAGAGCGGCAAGATCAGTTGCACACTCTCGCATGGATCGCGGATGCCGTGCAGCATCTGCTATGCTGCAAAGGTGAGCAAACATGCCAGCTGCGCGCCTTCAGCACCATCGTCATCTGAATGGCACGTGACGGACCTCCTAATCTTACCTCCCTTACCTGTTCATCCCTTCCAACCCCCCGTGCTACACCAGGAGCATTTGGTTGCTGTCAAGGCACGGAACACGCCGCGCACGCCTGAACAGCAGCAATGGATCGTGAATGAGGCGGCTGGGTTGACATCAAGCCAGGCCGACCCATGCAAGACCTACTCGACCTACCCGGTTGAGGTGAGCGACCTGTCCCCTTCGCTAATTTTTAGTCTATGCACTCCGTGTTGCTAAACCCAGGGGGAGATGTGCACTGCCATTGCACTGCCCCACATGTTGGCCGAGTCTCTCATATACCCTTCTCTACCATTCCACACCACAACCCCTCCGCCAGTGTGTGCTGTGGAAGTGGGATGTCCCAGGGACCGTGTGGGGCAATCCCTACCTCGTTATCATGCCTGACATCATGCACCAGGCGGACCTGGGCATGATGAGCCACATTGTGGCTGTCGTGCGCAAGATGAAGAAGCGGCGCGTGAAGCAGATGGACAGGTCAGTGCCTTGGGGGATTAGTTTCTTGTCAACAACACTCCAATACGCACTCTCCTCCTACTTACATGTCTCTGCATTTGTGCCGGCCTTGAACTGTTGTGTATGCGCAGGCGCCTGTCCCTCATTCGCGACCGCACGCGCCTGAACCACCTGCGCCTGCCAGAGAGCGCGTACTTCGAGAGTGGAGCATGTGTCGCGGCCTATGAGCACAGGGCCGTCATGCAGGTGTGCAAGCCATGGTGCATGTGATCATCTTGTGCGATAGCATGCACCATGCAGAAGCAGCTTGCCGGTTCTAGACTACAACACACCCCCTGCTGCATCTCAGTACCCTCTCTCCTGCTTTGCAACAATTCCGCCACCAAACCCGTTTGCTCAACTTCTCATGCCCCCCTGCCGTCATAAACCCCGCAATTTGCAGGTCATGGTGTTTGTCTTTGCTGGCCTGCTTCGCCAGCCCCAGATGGATGCTGTTCGTGCCTACCTTGGCTGGTACCTCTTGTGTTGCCAGCCAACGGGGCACACCGAGCGGTCCCTGCGGGATCTCAAGAAGAAGACCTCCCGGTACTATTAACATGCATGTACTACCCTTAGGCATTGCATGAATGCCTGGCCAAGACACTTAAGCTGTTGTAGTAACCTATCTTCTCAGGTTGTTGCTGATAAAACATGATAGTATATCAAATAAAGTAGGCTGCAGTAGGCTATAGTACTAGACTCTCATGTCCTTGCATATGCTGTCAACTCCCACTCCCATCAGGCTGGTTGAGCAGTTGCAGGCTGCTTTCCCAAAGCAGCCATCCTCTTGGTGCCTTGTGAAAACCCATCTCATGTCGCACTACATCGACTCCATTCGCCGCGCTGGACACGTCACGGAATTCAGCACCAACATGTTCGAGCACTTGCATGGCCCGTTGGTAAAGAGGATCTACCGGCGGTCCAACAAGCGCAATGTAGATGGGCAGATTATGAAGTTCCATGCTAGGCGCATCCCGGACGTTGTGCCGGTGGATGATCCCCTTGGCCGGGACGCTGCCATGCGGCAGGTAAACCTGTCTAGTGATTGAATTGCAAGGATATGCATGCATAATGTAATAAAGTCGCCACTGTTTGTTGGCAGGCCATTGAGACAGGCACAAGGACTCTTATCAAAGAGTCCTACTTACTCCCTGTGGAGTTACCAGAAGAACCCACCTCCACCAACTGGTTTGCAAGGAAGTGGGCCATGCAACACCCTGTTGCACAAGCTGCCCTCAAGGATGCGCTAGTACGTTATGCAGGATGCGCCCCCAAGATCAGGGTAAGTACTTCGTGGATCATACAATCATTCTTTTCGTGCCCCAAACCCTAAACTGATCATACAATTGTTGTGCAGGCCCATGCATCGTTGGCCATCCCAGCGGCAGATGATGCCAGCTTCTCAAGGGTTTCTCACTTCGTTCGGGCGACACCTGACTATTTTGAGCGGCCGTGGTACTCGGATGTTGCAGTAGAGGGTGTAAGGTACGGTCGGAGAGAGGAGTGGTACGCAAGGTTGCTGCTGCTGTTCCACACCAAAATCCGTGGAGAGAGGGAGGAGCTGGCTTACGTTAGATATTGGAATGCGTGTGGGGAGGATGCTGCAACTGGATGCACTCGCCTCAAGTGGACGACTGGAGTGTATGCGTACTCCGTGATTCCGCTTGAAGCGCTGCTTCGCCACGTCCATGTGGTGAAGGCGTTCCATCTGGACAGTACCTATCTCCTAAATAAGTATCATATGTGATGCATTTATCTAGTAATAAAATATGCAGCTTAATTCTGCATTGTCAAACTTACTTGAAGTCAAGGCCAAAACAATCCAATCCAAATTGATAATCATTTTGGCAAGCCACGAAAAACCGACAATGTACGACATTCCGAACTTGCTATCCAACTCCAACAAACAAACGCGGTCCGATTTCGGTCCGTGATTGGTCGCGATTTCGTTTCGGAACTTCGCCAACCAAAACACCTGAAATGTACACCCCTTCGAACCCCCTTCAAAAACCCAGGTTTTTTGTGATGACAAGGACCCCAACCAACAGTTCCAGGGATGGCAGCTACCGCCACCACCACTTGCTCTTGTGCAGAATGAGCCCGAGTACGAGATCGAGTGCGTTCTCACTCATCGGCGCCGCGGCGGCAAGACCCTCGAGTTCCTGATACGCTGGAAGGGATACGACCCCACTGAGGACAGTTGGGTTGCAGAAGCTGATATGGGCAACGCACGCCGTGCTCTCCAGGACTATCTTGTCAAGCAGGGTGTATCTCACGCCACCCAGCTTTGAGGGGGGGACGTGTGAGAGTACGACGGCTTATGCTTGTTATTCATGCTTGCTTTTATTCCCTTACGCTATTTCTAGCTTAGGTTTAATTTCTGCATGCATGAATTGTTTGATTCCTAGGCTAGGTGCTTTCCTATATTTTATTATAGTTATAGGCACCATGCTAGGTTACACCGAATTCGGAGCTATTCGGTTGCCACCGAAATGCTTTCTACCGGGTCTGTTCGGGACGCTTCGCGACCCGCAGAACCTTCGCGTAACACCTGGTTACTGCCCCTTGTGTCGAGCCTATATATAGCCTCGTGTTGTACCCAGGTGATCATTCAATTTACATTCTCATTTCTGAACTCGATCCTCGATCCTCACAAAGATGCTCTGTTTCAATGGTGATGTCCAGCATTACATTGGTTGTGGTGGCTGTTTCATCATCACGGCATGCCTCCAAAGGTGAAGTCTACTAAGCCTGCTGCCAAAATGGGCCGTGCTGCTGCTCCCGCGGTTGCCACGACTCCAGCGCCAGCGACTCATCGTCCAGACTCTGTGACTACTGTCCCGCCGAAGTCCTCGCGTGCGCTTTTCGCTGAGGAAGAGACGACCTCAATAATGCTCTCCGCCAAGCTTGCAGCGATCCGAATTGAGCAAGCTGCAGGGGAGGCGAAGGAGTCGGACAATGACAAGAAGAAGGATGCGATTTTTAAGGATGCAGTCTCAGACGATCCAGAGGGTGATGCTGCTATTGAAGAGGAAGAATGCAAAGCTTCCGGTAACGGATCTCGCTACGCAATCTTGAATGACGATGACGACTGCCTGATTGCGCATGATCCTAACGAGAGTCTCGAGGATAAGGTGAAAGGGGAGCTTGCAGCAAAGCTGAAGTTTTCGCTTACTTTGTTGATTCCTAACGGGCACTTGCAGGAACTCCCTTGTATGGAAGCGACAGTTAAGGGCCAGTTAGTGCTCTGGACACAGATCGGGTGAAGGGTCTGGTGGTGGCTTTCGAGAATGACAAGTTTTGCTGGAAGCATTTTTCCGAGAACCCAGTTGCGCTTGGCACCAGAATCATGGTCCGTGAAGTGCAGCCTCTGCGGCGGAATGCATTCTGTGCACAACCACAACGACTTCATCACCATCCGGCAGAGAAGCATTACCAAATGGAACCACATAGTGGGGAGGGTCCATGAGCCCAGCGGTAGAGAAGGATTTTGCTGCTTACCTGCTTGTGCTTCTCCTTTTTTCGGTTGGCTATTGCCTGACTCCCTCCTGCTGATTTCCCGTACATGTAGCGGTCGCGACTAGAGACCAAGATCATCCTCAAGGACCCGGCTCTGGCTCTCATCTCAATGGCGGGAAATCAGGGGGAGTGGGTTTGCCTGCTGGAGGGCTGCGAGAAAGGGAAGGGCTCGCCTTTCGAGCAGGCAGCGCACCGCGCTCTCTCGGTGCGACACCGCGGGGGGTTGATGAAGCCCGGTGCAGAGACACGTGCGCTCAAGGACAAGCTGAGTCTCCGCGTGCTGAAGGAGTATGGCATCTAGTAGACGGGTCGGGACGAAGAGCAGACAGGAGGTCGTTAGTATGCATGTGCCTATCAATGTATGCAATGGTATGTAGTTCTCACCAATGTTTTTTCATATCGCTTACCTCAGTCCGTGGATGGTATGGGGCTCCCGCACGGTTGAAAAATAGATAAGGCCTGCAACCTGCCAGTGTGCGGGCTCAACGAGAGCGGGCCCGGGAGCAGGGGAAAGCAAGGGAACCTGAAGCCTTGGATCAAGCGACATGCAGACATTTTCATACTAACGGACAAGAGAATTGTGCAGGACCACCGCTTTAGGAAGGACTTGAAATATTGCCACTGTTACGCTGTTACGAACACAAAAGGAGCGGGAGGGGTGGTGACATTAGCAACAACGCTCAGCTCACCTTCGAGAATGTCATTTAACACGAGTCTGGCAGGCTGCTTCAAGCAGATGTCAGATGGGACACTTTCAGCTTCACCCTGCTAGCGGCATACTTCCCATTAAGTGCTTGCTGCCGGCAAATCTTTTTACCAAACTCACCGGCGCCGTTTCTGAGCAACCTGGGGGGCAGGAGCCGTCTGCTCTTGGTGGGTGATCTTAACCTGATCGAGGACCTGACGCTTGACAAGTCCTCCGGTGTCGGCTCGTGCGGAGAGAATGTTAGATTGTTTCGACTGTTCAGCGGGTTACACATGGTGGATCCATATCACGCGCTGAACCTGAGTGGCCAAGAGTACACCTTCTACTCTCGGTCGTAGAAGGCAAGCACGTGGATCGACCGGTCTCTTGTGTCGGCGGAGGTGCTTTCTGCATTAGCGGAAGCTTTCCACATAAAGTCATTACGATAGATTTCGGATCACAAATTTGGATTTAAAGTGGTTCTGCGGGTAAATATGCGCCTCCACATGGGCCCCGGCCTATGGCGTATGCCTGCGGTGGACACAGCAAAGCCGGGGGTGGAGAAGGTGGTTCAAGCGGTTACGGAACGTCATCGTGTGGGGGGGAGCTAGTGTCAACGGAGTATTGTTTGGCCGCGTTCTTGCTTGGGCGGAGCCAACCGCGGGACCGCGGGAGGGCCGTGGGACCGCGGGACCGCGGGACCGCGGGAGAACCGCGGGAGGGCCGCAGGACCGCGGGACCGCGGGAGAACCGCGGGGCCGCGGGAAGACAGCGGGAAGCCGCGGGAGGCCGTGGGGCAACCACGGAACCACGGGGGCTGCGGGATACCCGGTCGACCAGGATACCCGGTCGACCAGGATTCCCGGGCGACGTGTGCGAAGGTCGCCGGGGGTGGTTTCTGCGAGGACGACCTCGGGGGTGGTATCCCGAGGTCGACGTGGCTGGTGGGCGCCGTCACGAGTGGAGTGTCTGCGCTGGGCATGTGACGGGGAGTTGGGCGCCAACCAGCTGCACGCACCTGCGAAGCAGGTGCACCGTTGTTCTGCCGCGGATGCAACGCTGTGCAGCCGACTTACTGCAGCGTTGGCACACCGCAGGCTTGCAACATTGGCAAGCCGTGACTCTGCTCTGCTGGAGCGCGGTCGACAAAGTCGTGCTGGCACGCGGACGACCGTGCTGCGTTGGTAGTCGACCATTAGCCTTGCTAGGTCTGATGTAGTCTGTATGGCCAATGTTGATTCAATCATTCTGAACTTTTGTTCTCATGTTTTCCTAGTGAAACTCTTGCCAATTTTCCCCGTGAACTAGCAAGCAGTGTTAGCACTTGGAAAGGATCAAGGAATGAACAAACGCTACGATCACTCTTGCCCCGTGCCTAGCCCGTAGTCTAGCTCCCGTGACACTAGTTTTCTCTGCATGGTGCGGTGAGCGTGGACGACACCGCGAAGTCACTTTCGAGTTAGCCGATTTTCAATTCACCTAGTTTGTTCGTAGGCCAGCGGCTGTGTTGGACGCCATGGTGGACCCCGTAGTAGAGGCGAGCGTCGTGGATACCTTGGAAGCACGGCTCGAGGACGCGAGAAGACGTCACGCGGCGAATGAGTACGGAACTCTCCCGCTGATGGTCGTCGAGGTCGAGCATCCCCCTTCTCGACCTGCATCTCCTCGACCGGTGAGCAACGCAGGCGGCGTCGGCGCGGGAGTCAACGCCGCGGGTGACCAAGTCGGTAGCAGCGCGGGAGGCACGTCGAGGTATCGAGGTGTGATTCACACCGATGCAGTTGGCGGCGTTCAGGAGCGAGGGATGCAGTCGTCCGCGGCTGCAGGAGCCCCGCGAGGCTACGTCGGAGGCAGACGAAGTGAATTGGCGCCGATGTCGGCGACGCACGTGACCGCGGGAGGAATTGCGCCGAGCTACGGCTACTTCAAGTTTACGCCGGACAGGATCTCAGTCTCACCTCCGCTGGGCGGTCGTCCTGACATCCTCACGTAGAAGAAAGCCATCGTGCCCCAGCTGGAGAAGGCCGGGCTGATGGGCTTCGCCCCGGGGGACTGTGGCGACGCCGGAGGAGCTCTACCCCGACCTGCGAGCGTAATATCGTGCCGTGCAGTTGCTGACCTTCACGGTCATCTCGCGGTGCTGCTCGCCGGGCGTACAGATCGCCCTGAAGTCGTGCTGGGGGTACCTCGACGCCGGCCACCGGGCGTGGCATTTCATCGAGTCAACTTACCAGGTCACCGGCGACTCGTTCATCGCCCAGCTTGAGGGGCAGCTAACGCATCTGCGTATGGGCGACCAGGAGACCGCGACGGACTACTGCAACCGAGCTCGGCGAATTCTCGCCACCATTCGGATGGCTGGCGCGGAGTACTCAATGGCGTCGTACATCACACACGTCATGCGGGGACTCCCGAGCAGCTACAATCTGCTGAAGCGGCTGTCGATGGCGCCAAGCACGCGGGCGACGCTCAACGAGGACACATTGACCTCGTACATCCTGCAGGACGAGGCGATGCAGGAGGCTGAGCGGTCCTAGGAGCTCCTGGCGAAAGTGAACTTCGTCGCCCCGGCGAAGCAAGGTGGTCGACCGGGACAGCGCTGGCATTCTGGTGGCAGTCACCACGGTGGCGGGAAGCCAGTGAAGGACGCCGACAAGAAGAAGTCGGCTAAGGATAGCGGTCGTGGAGGGGGAGGTCGACGACGGGAATGCTGGCTGTGCGGCGACCCCGATCACCTCTCCTTCGAGTGCCCCGACCGCAACGATTCCGACGACGACGACGAGAAGGGAGGCTGCGGGAGGTCTACCAGCCGTCGTCCGCGGCGAGGAACCCAGCCGCGAAAGGAATAGCAGCCGACGAAATCAACCGCGGCGAAGGTGCTGACACCTCCGCGGGTGGTAAAGGGCGAGGCGACAAGGAGGCGTCGTGCTCGCTGGTCGGCGTCGTGGAGCCGACCGTCTTGCTGGCGCCGGAGGCTGGCGAGGATTTCCAGGCGGTGGCGGCAGCTGTGCAAGCGAACCCCACGGTGGTCCTCCTCGACAGCGGCTGCTCGCAACACCTGATGGGGACGAAGGAGGTCTTCGTCGACATGGGGCCGAGCGGCGACGTGAAGCACGTGCGCGGCTTCAATGGGGCGCTGCAGGACGTTCGCGGCCGTGGCACCGTTGATCTGCAAGGGGAGGCCGGGAGGGTGCTCATCTCCGACGTGCTGTACCTCAAGGGCGTGCGCGCGAATTTGCTGTCCGCTGGCCAGCTGAAGAAACATGGCGTGAAGCTGCAGAAGGACGCGGACAGGATGTTGCTCGTCTCCGCAGCGGGAGAGGTGCTCGGTCGAGCAACGTACAACGGCCGAGTCCTCTGCACCGACTTGCGTCCTGATCGGCGACGATTGCGGCGGAGGTGGTGGCTCTGCGGGCAATCGTCTCGGCGACGAAGGCGACGCCGGACAGGCTGCACGCGAGGCTTGCGCACGTCGGCATGGACACCATCCGGAGCTCGGCGAAGCACGAGGTAGCCACCGGGCTGGACCTCTTGTCTGCATCCGGCGCCGCCTCGCCCTGCGTCTCGTGCGTTGGCGGCAAGCTAGCGCGCCACACCTTCCCCGACAAGGGCTCGGACGCTGAGGGCAGACGCCTTGGCCGTCGTGCACATCGATCTATGCGGGCCGTTTCGCGTGGCTGCCAAGGATGGCAGCCTGTACTTCTTGCTGCTGAAGGACCGCAAGACTCGCTACGTGTGGGTGAGGCCGGTCGCCAAGAAGTCCGACGTGCTGTTGGAATTCCAGAAGTGGTTGGTGATGGTGGAGCGGCAGGCGAAGAGGTCGGTGTTGCAGCTGCGCTCTGACCGAGGAGGGGAGTTCCTCGGGAAGGAGTTCACCGCCTTCGTGGATGGAAAGGGGATCGTCCACGACTTGACCTGCCCCTACACCCCGCAGCAGAACGGCATGGCGGAGCGGGAGATGCGGACGGTGGTGGAGTCGGTGCGGACGATGCTGCTGCACATGGGCGTGCAGCACCACTGGTGGCATCTCGCTCTGCGGCAGGCCGTCTGGGTCCGCAACTGCCTTGAACGGTCGACGCTGCCACCGGGGACGATTCCGTACCAGCTCCTCACCGGGCAGAAGCCCGACTTGTCGATGGCGCGGGTGTGGGGCTGCATGGCGCAATTCCTCGTTGGTCCCTGAGAAGCAATGCGGTGGGAAGCTGAAGCCGAAGGCCAGGTGGGGCCTTCACCTCGGCGTGTCGGAGGAGAGCAAAGGCTGGGAGCTCCTCGACATCGCCAACAACCGGGTGGTCACCACGTCAGACGTGGTGTTCTACGAAACCATGTTGCTGGACGTGTGGAAGTCGGAATTCGGGCCCCCGTTGGGGCGGCCACGGGCCACCTCGCCGACAAACACCGCGACGGCCACGCTCCCTCTGCTCGCCGAGGTCGGTGAGCAGGCTGATGAGGATGCCGCGGTCACCACTGACTCGCCTTCCCATGCCCCTTCTTCCCGTCCCCTTCCGGTCGACTTGCGCGGGCTGACTCCGATGTCGGCCTCCGGCGATGAGGGGAGCAGTGGGGCGTCGCCTGTGGCGCCATCCAAGTACATCGCTGGCGGCCGACGTGACACCACGCGGGAGAAGACGAAGCAGGCCACGGGACCGCGGGAACGAGGGACCGCGGTGACAGGAGAGCAGCTGCCAGGGGCCGCGGGACTGCGGGACCGCGGTGATAGAAGAGCAACTGCCAGGGGCCGCGGAACCGCGGGACCGCGGTGACAGGGGAGCAGCAGACATGGGAGCAGGCAGACGTAAAGCCGACCACGGCGCAGTCACCTGAGACGCCGACCGTGGTGCAGCCGGACGCTGAGGGCAGTGACGCCGCGAAGCCGGCGACAGGGGAGCAGTCGGACGCAGGCCGCGGGAATGCAGGACCACAGGAGGCCGCGGGACCGCGGGAGCGCGAGGATTCCATTGACAGCGATGTGGTGGAAGTCCAGACCGGGCCACGGCGTACAGAACGACTTCAAAGGCCGCCTGATTTTTTTTTCCCCGCTGCCTTCACCACGGTGTACGACGTTGACGACGAAGACCTCGTGTACGATGACGCCGAGGATGATGACGAGTTTTCGGAGCTCGACCCCGACATGCACGCCGATCCCGAGCACCGTTGGGACATTTCCACAATGATGGTAAAGGATGCGTTGGCGAGCTAGAAGGGTCCGGCGGTGATGGCTGCCATGGAGGAGGAGATCCGTAGTCTCCTCGCCATGGGCACGTGGGAGCTGGTCGAACGCCCACCCGGGGTCAACATCATGAAGAACCGGTGGGTGCTGACGACGAAGTACCGCATCGACGACACCGTCGAGCGAGAGAAGGCGAGGCTGGTCGTGAAGGGCTTCACGCAGGTGTATGGCGCCGACTACGACGAGACGTACGCGCCGGTGAGCAGCTACGTCACGCTGAGGATCTTTCTCAGCATCGTCGCCGTCCTCGACTTCAACCTGATGCAGCTGGACATGAAGAACGCTTTCCTGCAGAGCAAGCTCGACCGCGTGCTGTACATGTACCAGCCGGACTACTTCAACGACAGGATCGGCCGGGTGTGCAAGCTGCTGAAGAGCCTCTACAGGCTGAAGCAGTCGCCGCTGCTGTGGTACAAGGCTCTCAACGACGTGTTGGTCGGCGCCGGGTGGAAGAAGAGCCAAGTCGACGAGGCTCTGTACTTCAAGGTCGGCGACGACACAGTGACCTGCTGGGTGCTGGTCTACATCGACGACCTGCTCGCCGCCAGCAGCAGCACTGCCATGCCGAAAGAGCTGAAGGAGCTGCTGGAAGCCGCCTTCGAGCTGCGCGAGATTTTGCCGGTGCAGAAGTACCTCGGCCAAGAGATCGTGCGCGACAGGCCATCGCGGAAGCTTTGGCTGCACCAGCAGGGCTACACCGACAAGGTGCGCAGGCGCGTCATCGACGAGGAGCTGACCGGGCGCACCCCGAAAAACGCCGGTCTCCGTCGACGCCTACGCGGAGCTGACATTCGACGACGAGGAGGCGCAGGAGCGTCAGGAGGAGGAGTACCGGTAGAAGGTCGGCTCGCTGCAGTTCGCGGCGACGATGACGAGGCCGGACATCGCGTTCACGTGCAGCAAGCTGGGGAGCGGCCTCACGGTGAGGAGCGACCAGCACTGGCGCGAGGTCGACCGCTGCCTCGCCTACCTCGCCAACATGCGCGACACCGCCCTGAAGTTCGGCGGTGGTCCATAGTCACTGGAGTTGGTCGGCTACGTGGACGCCGACGACGCCAGCGACAAGCAGAACCGGACGAGCACGGGCGGCTATAGAGGGGCCGTGGTCTCTTGGTCGAGTCATCGCATCAAGTGCGCGACGCTGTCGTCGACCGAGTCGGAGTACGTGGCGGCCGTCGAAGCTGGCAAGGAGGGACGTCGCCTTCGCTTCCTCCTTGCGGAGTTCCGGCAGCTGGACGCCTAGAAGCCGACTGTCCTCAGAGTGGACAACACGTCGGCCATCACGGTCGCCGAGGGCATGGGGTTGATGGGCAACCTCAAGCACATGGAGCGGCGACAGGCCTGGCTGCAGCACATGGTGAAGCGCGGGAAGTTCTCGCTGCAGTACATCCCAACCACTGTGCAGCCAGCTGACTTCCTGACAAAGGCGCTGCACTATCCGGCCTTCAACCGGTGCTCCATCGCAATCGGCCAAGTGAGGCTGACCGACGTGGGCGACGGCGACAACGACGTGCAGCAGTAGGTGCCATGCCCTCTTGCATGGCTGGTGTGGTGACCGGCGTGCTGTGCGTTGTGTGCACGCCGACGGGCTATTCTCCGAGCAGTACTATCGTGTGGGCTGGGGGCGCCAAGCGTGAACACGGCAGGGGAGTGTCAACGGGAGTAGTGTTTGGCCCCGTCCTCGCTTGGGCGGAGCCGACCGCGGGACCGCGGGAGGGCCGTGGGACCGCAGGACTGCGGGAGAACCGCGGGAGGGCCGCGGGACCGCATGACCGTGTGAGAACCGTGGGGCTGCGGGAAGACCACGGGAAGCCGCGGGAGACCCCGGGGCCGCGGGAGGCCGTGGGGCAACCACGGGACCACGGGGGCCGCGGGATACCCGGTCGACCAGGATACCCGGGCGACGTGTGCGAAGGTCGCCGGGGGTGGTTTCTGCGAGGACGACCTCGGGGGTGGTATCCCGAGGTCGACGTGGCTGGTGGGCGCCGTCACGAGTGGAGTGTCTGCGCTGGGCATGTGACGGGGAGTTGGGCGCCAACCAGCTGCACGCACCTGCGAAGCAGGTGCACCGTTGTCCCGCGGATGCAACGCTGTGCAGCCGACTTACTGCAGCGTTGGCACACCACAAACTTGCAACATTGGCAAGCCGCGACTCTGCTCTGCTGGAGCGCGGTCGACCAACAGCCTTGCTAGGTCTGATGTAGTCTGTGTTGCCAATGTTGATTCAATAATTTTGAACGTTTGTTCTCATGTTTTCCTACTGAAACTCTTGCCAATTTTCCCCGTGAACTAGCAAGCAGTGTTAGCACTTGGAAACAATCAAGGAACGAACGAACGCTACGATCACTCTTGCCCCGTGCCTAGCCCGTAGTCTAGCTCCCGTGACACTAGTTATCTCTGCAGCTAGCAGGTTTGGTAACGTGCTGACCAAACTGAAAGTGGCTCTTCTTAGGTACTCCACTAAGGAGCAGAAGCAGATACGAGCAACATTACGACACTTGGAGGAGGCGGTGACGGTGCTGCAGCATGAAGTGATGCGGGAACCTGAAAGTGAGAACCTGCGAGAGGAGCTATCGGTGAAGGAAGCCCAACTAGGGAAACGAAATACTGCAGCTATTGGCAAGATAGCGGGAGGTTGCCAAAGGCGAGATTGCATTGAAGGTTCTCTCCGCAAAAGTAGAAATGCAAAAGGCGAAGGCCACAATCTTGATGCTGTCACATCAGGGGGTGGGGCATAGGGATGAGAGGCATCCTGGAGGTCGCCTCCAGCTTTTACACCTCTCTGTTTGCGGAAGCGCCAGCCTCCGGTCTGCCTTGTTGGAAGCCAGAGCCTGGGAAGACATTGAAAGAAGCTGCCTCCCTGGAAGCAAGCTGGACTGAGGATGAGGTGAAAAAGGCGCTAAAAGAGATGGCAAACGATAAAGCCACCGGCAGAGACGGATTGCCCAAGGAGCTTTTCGAACGCCATAGGGACCGGCTAGGGGAATATTTCATGGGGTTCGTAAGAGATTTTGAAGCCACGGCGTCCCTATCGGAGGAGGTGCAGGAAGCTGTGACGATCCTGCTGCATAAGAAAGGCCCAAAAGAACAGTTCCAGAACTACAGGCCAATCACACTGCTTACCAGCTCTTATAACGTGGTGGCGAAGCTGCTGGCCAACCGAATGACGAAGGTCTTGGAAAGGGTTATCTCCAAGGAACAGTGCGGTTCCCTCCCAGGGAGAAGACTGTCGGATGCGGTGTCGCTGGTAGCAGACGTGATCGAAGCGGCAAAAAACGACAACAAAGACTTGTACATTCTAATGGTGGACTTTCGATTCAGTCTCCCGAACGTACCTCTTCGATACCATGTTTCTCATGGGCTTCCCGGAGAAGTTCGTCTGGTGGTGCAATGGGCTTCATGATGGGTCCTTCACTCGGCTGCTTGTCAACGGCTGGTTAGGGGACCAAATCGAGGTTGTCAAGGGAGACTGGCAGGGCGGTCCGCTAGCACCCTACCTCTTCCTGTGCGCGGTGGAGCCAATCTGCCAAGAAGCAAAAAGACAGAGGTTAGGAATAAGCAACGACTACGGAGAAAGGCTACCTTACCCAGGGTACGCGGATGATACGACACTGATTTAGATGGGAAGTGGCAGATTGGTCGGGCGGAGAAGCTCCTGGAGGAGTTTCAGGCTCGCTCAAGGCTCAAAGTCAATAAGGAGAAGTCGGCGCTGCTCCCGCTGGGGAAGAACCTGAATCGCAAAAAAGACGAGGAGTCAGGCTTCGCGTGGGTTAACCCAAAAGATGCGGAGAGATTGCTCGGAGTCTGGGTTTCACCCTCAGAAAGTGTTGACGTCACATGGGATAAAGCCTTAGCCAGAGCAGCGGCTGAACTGCTGAACTGGCAATCTCATCATCTGACGACAACAGCGCGAGTAGCCGTGGTTAACTGCTACATCTGCCCGATACTAGCCTCCAAGAACAGGTGTACCCCCCCTCGGAGGCGATTTGGAAGCGAATCATGAAGCTGATCGTTAACTTCATCTCCAGGAACCAGGCTTCGGAGGAGCATCGGTTCACGCTCTGGAGCAGGGAGTTGATTTTCAGGCCACGGAAGGAAGGGGGATTGGGCGTTAGAGATCCGCTCGGGGAACTCTCGCGCCTAGCAGCGAGGCGAGTGGGAGTCCTTGTGCTTGGAAGCGGGCTCCGAAGAGTGCTGGCGCTGGCGGAAACGGATCTTCCGGATGGTTTTTCTCCTTCTGGGCACATGAGGAGTTTCTGAAGCAGTGGAAGGGAAGAAGTGTCAGATGGCGGCAGACGTGCGATATGTTTATGAAGTCGAGAATCATGGAACAGGGGTCGAAAACGAAGTGGGACATCGAGCAGGAGCCTTTGGTCATCAATCGGCAAATACTGCCAAACGGGAAAAAGCCGCTGGGGTGTTAGAAGGCGGCGATAAGGCTGGAGCTGTACAAGCTGGGAGATATCTGTGCTGCACAGGACGGGACGAGAACCATGAAAACCCTGGAGACGCTAACAAGGGAAATTGGCACCAAAAAGAAAGCAAATCGCGAGTTGAAAGCTTTCGGCTGCATCCCGGAAGCATGAAAGCAGAAGCTCCTGGAGCCGCTAACGGAGGCTGAGCTGCTGGCGGAGTCAGAATACGTGAAGGTTGCGGGAGCCATTGTTCCCTGGAAAATTGACTGAGTGGAGCTAGGGGAGCTAGTGTGCCGAGCATGTGAATGCACGGGGACGCCACTGGAAGGAGAAGCAAAAATGACTACCATGCTGCACCCGAACACGGTGCAGCCGCTGATTGTTCGGGAAGGGCGAATTATTGGAGCGGCTGGCCTGCCCGAGGTGAGGATTGCGGAGAGTCACTACACAACGGGAGTGGACTACGAAGGAGAGCACGGTGTTGTGGGAGTGATCGCAGCCCTCTGCTAGCGTTCTTACTGCTTGCTATGTTCACTGAGAAGTTTGGCAAGAATTCCACTAAGGAAAGAACAACTTGCATTAACAAAGTTGATAGGAAAGAATAGAGTACAACAATGAGGCATGCAGAACAAAAGACTAGAATGGCATGCAACACCTAGCAAGGGCGAAATCTGCCAACGCAGTAGAAGAGCGGCTTGCCAACGCTGCAGCAGAGTGGTCTGCCAGCGTTGCACTGCGCGCGGTCTGCCAGCACTGCATTCGCTGGTGACTATCTGCAATCGTAGGTTGTCTATCTGCGCAGATGTGCGCACCTACCAAGTAGGTGCAGGTTGGCGGTTTCACCGTCAGGCACATTGCGCAGGTGCCAGGTAGAAAACGTGTCGTCGGTTTTGCCAGGTGCGCGCCGTCGACCACGTGATGCCGTTCCGCAGGTAGAACTTCGCCAAAATCTCCTACGCGAATGTTCGCACGCCTTCGCAGAGTTTCGCGCAACTCTGCAACTTCGGTCGATCAGCTCAACTCTGCTCGGTCGAACAAAATCCGCAGAGCAGAACTTCTCGACCAGAACTCTTCGACCAGAGTTCTTCGACGGAAGCTCGCCACGCAGAGATCGTCGACCAGAGCTTATTGCGCAGAGTTCGTCGACCAGATTCCGTCGAGCAGAGCCTGCTCGACCGCAACTTCCACCGAATTGCAGAAGCCCATTTCGTCTACCGATCCGTCGCGAACTTCCCGTCTACAGCGAGATCAGCTACGCTCAAGCGAGGGCGGGGCCATTTCCTTCGACACTCCCTTGCTGCGCACACGCTTGAGCACCCCACACACAAGGTCCACCCAGAACCCAGAGGGATAGAATACAAGGAGAAACTCCTTCTACGTGCACCCAACACATAACACGTAGATCACCGCACCAGCCGTGCAGAAGGGCACGGCACCTACTGCTGCACCTCGTCATCCCCGTCGCCCACGTCGGCCAGACGCACTTGGCCGATTGCGACGGAGCACCGGTTGAAAGCCGGAAAATGCAGCGCCTTCGTCAGAAAATCCGCCGGCTGCTCGGAGGTCGGGATGTACTGCAGAGCAATTTTCCCGCGCTTCACCATCTGCTGCAGCCATGCGTAGCGTCGCTCCATGTGCTTGAGGTTGCCCTTGAGCCCCAAGCCCTCTGCGACTTTGAGACTGGTTGTCCACGTGCAGAACAGTCGGCTTCCTTGGGTCGAGCAGGCGGAATTCTGCAAGGAGGAAGCGCAGACGGCGAGCCTCCTTGCCGGCTTCTGTCGCCGCGACGTACTCCGACTCGGTCGACGAGAGCGTCGCGCACTTGATGCGCTGGCTCGACCACGAAACTGCGGCTCCTCCGAAGATGAAAATGTAGCCGCTAGTGCTCGTACGATTCTGCTTGTCGCCAGCGTCGTCGGCGTCTGCATAGCCGACCAGAACCAGTGACTCTGGTCCGCCACCGAACTCCAGCACGGCGTCACGGGTTTCAGCGAGGTAGTGCAGACAGCGATCGGCCTCACACCAGTTGTTGTCGCTCCGCACCGTCAGGCCTGATCCGAGCTTGCTGCACGCGAAGGCAATGTCGGGCCTCGTCGTGGTGGCCGCGAACTGCAGCGAGCCGACCTTTTTCCGGTATTCTGCTTCCTCCAAATACAACATGTATAATGTTTGACACACCCCCATAGGCAAAGTGGGGGAGACCTAGGGGTCACAAGACCAGTCAAGGCAAAGCAAGGCAACAAGCAGCTCAGGGTGGATCTCAAGGATTCCACACAAATTCCGAGCACAAGCTAGTGGTCACAAGACCAGTTCACATGCAGGTTTATAACAGAGCAAGAGATACAGTGATCACAACCTAGCAAGAGTAAACATGCAGGTATAGATATATATAGTGATCACAGTACAAGCAAAGTCAAGAGGTAAGTAAGTGAGGTCCAGTAGGCACAAGGCCTAGTAGAGTGCAGAAGCGCTGATGGTCACGAGGCTGAAGCGCCTTGGTGAACACATCAGCAGTGTTGGCCTCAGTGGCCATGTAACGAATACAAAGCTGACCGCGCTGCTGCAGCTCACGAGCAAGGAAGTACCGCAGGGCGATGTGCTTCGTTCTGTGCTCCAGTCTGTGCTCCTCACACAAGGCAATGGCAGCCTTGTTGTCGACGTACAGTACTGGAGGAGAACGAGGCCGCTCTCCGAGGTCGGTCAGCAGGTAGGTCAGCCAGCGTAGCTCCTGGGCAGCCATGGCTGTAGCGTAGATCTCAGCCTCGCAACTGGAGCCGAGAACAGAAGAAGAGCGTGTAGAGCGCCAAGAAACTGAGCCAGAGCCAAGGCTGAAGGTGTAACCCTGAGACGACCGCTGAGTGGCCTGGTCGTCTGCCCAAGAAGCGTCTGAGTGCCCTGTGAGAACAACTCGGTCTCGCCCTCCAAGCACAAGCCCCATGCCCGACGTACTGCACAAGTAGCGCAACACCCTCTTAGCGGCATCCATGTGCTCCTTCCTGTGACGGCCAGGAGCGACATAGCGTGCAAGGATGCTAAGAGGGTATGCAAGGTCAGGTCGAGTGCAGGTCATCAGGTACATGAGGCAGCCCACAAGCTCTGGATACGGGCCACTCGGCTCTACGGACTCATCCGAAGGCAGAGCTGAGAGCGAGTGACCGGTAGGCAGAGGAGTGGACTGTGGCGAGGAGTACGTGAAGCGGAAGCGCTGGAGAACCTGCTGCACCATGTGTGACTGAGTCAGGGTGATGGTGCGCCGTGCTCTGTCCCGGGTGATCCGCAAGCCAAGATAGCTTGTCAGCTCACCCAGGTCTGTGCACGTGTGTCTCCTCTGCAGCTCCGACTTCACGTAGGCGAGTCCTGCAGTGTCAGCAGTGGCAAAGACCAAGTCGTCGACGTACACGAGGATGTAGAACGGCGGCAGCGAAGTGTCGGTGCGCAGGAACAGCGACGGGTCAGCTGTAGAAGGCGCGAACCCAAGAGCCGCAAGTGTAATCCTCAGTGTGTCGTGCCACTCACGCGGAGCCTGGCGGAGACCGTAGACCGGCCGCTGAAGCCTCCACTGGGTACCAGGAGGAAACGACCCAGTGAAGCCAGGTGGGCGGCGCAGCCAGATCTCCTCGTGCAGGCTGCCCTGCAAGAAAGCAGTGCTGAAGTCAAGTGAGTGAAGCTCGTAGTCGCGGTGAGCGGCTATGTGCAGCAGCACCCGAAGAGTAGTCATCTTCGGGGTGGGGGAGAAGGTCTGGAAGAAGTCAACTCCCTCTCGCTGACTGAAGCCTCGAGCCACGTAACGCGCCTTGAAGACAGGCGGAGAACCCGGCGGCCGCTTCACCCTGAAAATCCACATGCCACTGACGATGTTCGCCCCAGGAGGGGGAACCTCGTCGACGTAGGTGCGTGTGGACTTCCAGGAAGCCATCTCGGCGTCCATGGCTGTCTGCCACTGAGAGGAGTAGGGACCCGCCATCGCCTCAGCGTAAGTGCGCGGGGT